CTCAAAAATCCCCCAGGTTTTTACATCCAGAAACATTTATCCAGGACAGCCTTTCCAGTGTTCTGGGACACTTGTAGTGCTCTGAGGTGTCCCTTCCCTGCTGTCCCTGCAGAGATTTAGCTGGGACAAAGGAGGAAGGAGGTGGCAGAGCTGTACAGGGAGGTCACAGGTGGGGTGTCCATGGAGCCAGGGTCATGAGATCTCCATAAAACCCAAGAATCTCAACAATCCACCAAGATTCATCTCCCTCAGCCAGAAACATCCAGGACAGCCTTTCCAGTGTTCTGGGACTCTTGCAGTGCTCTGAGGTGTCCCCTCCCTGCTGTCCCTGCACAGATTTAGCTGGGACAAAGGAAGACGGTGGTGGCAGAGCTGTGCAGGGAGGGTGGCCATGGAGCCACCATAAAACCCAAGAATCTCAAAAACCCGCCAGGTTTTTACATCCAGAAACATTTACCCAGGACAGCCTTTCCGGTGTCCTGGGACGCTTGCAGTGCTCTGAGCTGTCCCTCCCTGCTGTCCCTGCAGAGACATCGCGTCCAACCGGCGGGAGCTGCTGCAGCTGCGCATCACCCACGTGCTGAACGCCTCGCACTGCCGCTGGCGCGGCGGCGCCGACTACTACGAGGGCACGGGCATCCGCTACCTGGGCATCGAGGCCCACGACTCCCCCTCCTTCGACATGAGCCCCTACTTCTACCCCGCCGCCGACTTCATCCACCAGGCCCTCAACGAAGGTCCCGGGGCGAGGGGAGGGGGAGGAGAGGGAGAAGGGATGGGGGGAGCGGCCCTGGGAAGGTGGGGAGATGGGGTGGTGGTCTGGCGGTGGTTGTTGTTAAGGATCCTGGGAAACAAAGGTGTTTTGAGGCTGGGATGGTGTCCCATGGATGAGATCATCTTAATGGTGTCTCCTCATGGGATGACCTTGATGGTGTCCCCTGATGGGATCACCTGGATGGTGTCTCTTCATGGGATAATCCCAATGGTGTCTCCTTATGGGATGACCTCAGTGGTGGGCCCTCATGGGACAACCTCGATGGTGTGCCCTGGATGGGATCACCTGGATGGTTTCTCCTCATGGCATGACCCCGATGGTGTCTCCTGGATGGGATCACCCCGATGGTGTCTCCTCATGGGATCACCCCAATGGTTTCTCCTCATGGGATGACCCCCAATGGTGTCTCCTCATGGAATCATCCCAATGGTGTCTCCCCATGGGATAACCCCGATGGTGTCTCCTCATGGGATCACCATGATGGTGTCCCCTGGATGGGATCACCTTAATGGTGTGTCTTCACGGGATAATCCCAATGGTGTCCTATTGGATTTTACTGCACACCATGACAACACACCACAACAGTGTCCCCTCATGGCATCACCCCAGTGGTGTCCCCTCATGGGATCACCCCCTCCCCACAGGGCACCGGCTGGATGAGAGCACTGTCCCCTCAGGTCACAGCCCTGGCCTGTGTCCTGAGCACTGCTGGGCCTGTTCTGTCCATTTTGGGCTGGCAGGACACTCTGACACCCTTTGCCACGAGGTGACCTCAGTTCCTCACAGGCGTCATCTCCTGCCCAGCTGCACCTCGGCTCCTGGGGCTCCAGGGCACAGCTGGGTGCTCAGGATTTTTGGGCTGAAAATGTGGGATTTTTTTTGCCTGATTTTTGGGCTGAAAATGTAGAATTTTTGGGCTCATTTTTGGGCTGAAAACATGGGATTTTTGGGCAGAAAATGTGGGGTTCCTCACAGGTGTCACCCCCCACCAGCTGCTGCCCACCTGCACCTCGGCTCTGGGTGCTCCAGGGCACAGCTGGGTGCTCAGTAGGATTTTTGGGCTGAAAATGGGGGGGTTTTGGCCTGATTTTTGTGCTGAAAATATGGGATTTTTGGGCTGAAAATATGGAATTTTTGGCCTGATTTTTGGGCTGAAAATGTAGAATTTTTGGGCTCATTTTTGGGCTGAAAACATGGGATTTTTGGGCAGAAAATGTGGGATTTTTGGGCAGAAAATGTGGGATTTTTTTGCCTGATTTTTGGGCTGAAAATGTGGGATTTTTTGGCTCATTTTTGGGCTGAAAACAGGGGATTTTGGGCCTGATTTTTGGGCTGAAAACGTGGGATTTTTTTACCTGATTTTCGGGCTGAAAATGTGGGATTTTGGGCCTGATCTTTGATCTGAAAACGTGGGATTTTTGGCCTGATTTTTGGGCTGAAAACGTGAAATTTTTGCCTGATTTTCGGGCTGAAAACGTGGGATTTTTGGCCTGTTTTTGGGGCTAAAAATGTGGGATTTTTGGCCTGATTTTTGAGCTGAAAACGTGGGATTTTTTTGCCTGATTTTCGGGCTGAAAATGTGGGATTTTTGGCCTGATTTTTGGGCTGAAAACGTGGGATTTTTGGCCTGATCTTTGGGCTGAAAATGTGGGATTTTTGGCCTGATCTTTGGGCTGAAAATGTGGGATTTTTGGGCTGAAAATGTGGTGGTTTTGGCCTGATTTTTGGGCTGAAAACGTGGGATTTTCCTGGCTGTGCCGTGACGCAGCCGCCGTGTCCCCGCAGGGAGGATCCTCGTGCACTGTGCCGTCGGGGTCAGCAGGTCGGCCACCCTGGTCCTCGCCTACCTCATGATCCGCCACCACATGCCCCTGGTGGAAGCCATAAAGACGGTCAAGGACCACCGCGGGATCATCCCCAACCGCGGCTTCCTGCGCCAGCTGGTGGCCCTGGACAACGCCCTGCGGCTCAAGAGGAGCTCCTGAGGGGCTGGCACTGTGTGAGCTCTGCCTGTGGGTCCCCCCAAAGCCTCCCCCCAGCTCAGGGGGTCCCCCCGTGGTCCAGCCCAGACCCTCCACCTGCAGTTCTGCCATGGCCTCCTTCCCAGCCCGCTCGCTCCCAGACGCCTCCGGAGGGACTCGGCCCCACCTCTCCGCCTGCTCCATCCCCGTGGCCTCCAGGGAGCCTTCAAGGCTTTGTTGTCCCCCCTGGCGTTTGTGTCCCTCGCTGCCGGGACGGCTCTGTGTGTCCCCTGTCGTGCTGCCGTGTGTTTGTGGTGATGTCGGGTGTGGTGTGTGGGCTCAGGCCAGCTCCTGCCGCGGTGTTTGGGTGTTCTCCGTGCCTCGTGCCACCCTGTGAAAATAAAGGCAGAGCTAAGGAACAGCCTGGACTCGCCTCGTGGGGCTGGGGACAGCTCAGGGTGGCAGCTGGCACGGGACTGGGGGACAGAGCGTCACCCGAGTGCTCGGGCTGAAGATGGACCCGAGTGGCCCCAAATTCTCAGTGCAGGGATCAAACCTGAGACTCTGCCCAAATCTGAGATGCTGCTCAGTGCCCAGACCTGAGATCCTGCCCAGACCTGAGACCCTGCCCAAATCTGAGATCCCAGTCAGTGCCCAAACCTGAGATCCTGCCCAAACCTGAGACCCTGCCCAAATCTGAGATCCCAGTCAGTGCCCAAACCTGAGATCCTGCCCAAACCTGAGACCCTGCCCAAATCTGAGATCCTGCTCTGTGCCCAAATCTGAGATCCTTCCCAAACCTGAAACCCTGCCCAAATCCGAGATCCTGCTCCATGCCCAAACCTGATATCCTGCCCAAATCTGAGATCCTGCCCAAATCTGAGATCCATGCCCAAACCCAAGCCCCTGCTCAGGGCCTGTCCTGGGGTCACCCCCTCTTTTTCCCAGCAGTGGGGACAAAGGGGGCTCCTGGTGGGAGGCAGAGCTGGGCTGGCAGTGCCAGTGTCCCCCAGCCGGGCTGGCAGTGCCAGTGTCCCCCAGCCGGGCTGGCAGTCCCAGTGTCCCCCAGCCGGGCTGGCAGTGCCAGTGTCCCCCAGCCGGGCTGGCAGTCCCAGTGTCACCCAGCCGGGCTGGCAATGCCAGTGTCACCCAGCCGGGCTGGCAGTGCCAGTGTCACCCAGCCGGGCTGGCAGTGCCAGTGTCACTGTCCAGCACGAGGTGGCCGTGCCAGCGTCCCAAAGGCAGCTCCCAGTGGCCACCCCGGTGTGACAAACACGCCCAGGAGCAGCAGGGCTGAGCCAGGAGGTGCCAGCGCCGGGAAGGGGTGTCCTGGTGGCCCGGGTGGCCCCGGCCCTGGCGGCTGCCAGCCCTCATTGTCCTCCCGCTCCCGTTATAGCTCCATTCTTCCCGAGCTTCCGGAGAGCGCCCGAGCAGCGCTGGGCTGCAGCTGGGGCCAGCGGGAACCTGGAACGGGGACAGGGAGCTGGGAGCATGGAACAGGGGGGACAGGGAGCTGGGAGCCTGGAACAGGGGGGGACAGGGAGCTGGGGCTGTGCTGGGATCATGGAAAAAGGGGGACAGGGAGCTGGGATCATGGAACAGGGGGGACAGGAGCTGGGGATGTGCTGGGATCATGGAAAAGGGGGGACAGGGAGCTGGGATCATGGAACAGGGTGGGACAGGGAGCTGGGGCCCTGCTGGGATCCTGGAAAGGGGGGCACAGGGACCTGGGGACAGCTTCATGCGCTGGGGCACACCAGGACCAGTGCCAGCAGCCCGTGTGTCACCGCTGGGCTGCCTGGTGTCCCCGAGCCTGGGCTGGGTGTCACGATCCCAGACTGGTTTGGGTTGGAGGGACCTTAAACCTCATCCCATGCCACCCCTGCCATGGCAGGGACAACGCCCTCCATCCCAGGGATCCAGGGGCAGCCGCAGCTGCTCTGGGAATTCCATCCCAGCCCCTCCCACCCTCCCAGGCAGGAATTCCCTCCTGCCTTTACCAGAGCAACGCGGAGAGGAAAACCCTTCCAACAACGACATTTTCCGGAGTATCTAACTTGTGGCGTCCCAAACCTCACACCGAGCCCCCCGAGGAGCCCCAGAGGGCCCAGGCCGGGCTGGTGCCACCTGCGCCAGGTGATGCCCTGGCACCGGGCGCGGGTGTGAGCGCAGGGACCCGCCGGGGGCGGGCCGGGGGCGGCNNNGCGGCCCCGGGGGGGCTGCGGGGCCGGGGCGGGGTTTGGGGGCCCGGCCATGGCCCGGAGGAGCAGCCGCGGCCCCGCGGAGCCGCCCGATGCCCCCGTTCCAGTGGTGCCACGGTGAGCGCGGGGAGGGGCTGGGTGGGCAGGGGGTGTCCCCTCCCTGCTGCCCGGGGAGAGGGGCATCCCCCGGGCACCTCCGGGCATTCCTTGGGCATCCCCGGGTATCCCTCGGGCATCTCCGGGCAACCCCTGGGCATCTCCGGGCATCCCCCGGGCATCCTCGGGCATTCCCCGGCCATTCCCTAGGCATCTCCGGGCATCATCTGGGCATCTCCGCGCATCTCCAAGCATCGCGGGGCACCCCCGGTCATCCCCCGGCCATCTCCGGCCATCCCCTGAGCATCTCCGGGCATTCCCGGGTATGCCCCGGGCATCCTCGGGCATCTCCGGGCATCCCCGTGGGCATCTCCAGGCATTCCCCGGGCATTCCCCGGTCAGTCCCGGGCATCACACCAAAAAAAAAAACCCCTCCGTGCTCCAGGCGCTCCCTCCCCGCTCCTCGGGGCTCCCGGTGCCCCCGTTGTGCCCTCGTTGTGCCCCCGGGGGCACGTCCTGCCCGTTTCTCCGGGAGAAAGCACCCGGGGCAATGGGCTGGCTGCTCACACCAAAAAAAAAAACCCACCTCAAACCTTTGGTGTGCCCAGAAAAGTGGGGCAAATTCATTTTTGGGGGCTCCTGGCCGGGAGGAGCCCTCAGGAACACGAAGCTGAGTTGAGCTCACGAGAGCCGGGTTATTTCAGCGCCCCAGGAGCTGCACTGGGAATTCCATCCGAGCCCCAGCAACAAAGGCTGGGCTGCTCGGATTTGTGGAATGGCTGCAGCCTTTGAAGCTAAATATAAACCAAGCAGCAGCTCTTCCTGTGCCCTGACACGTCCCTGCCGTGTCCTGGTGGCGTGGGGGACACTGGGCAGCGTGGGGGACACGGAGCCACCGCTCCCCCAGGCAGGGAAGGCCCCACAGCAGCTCCAGGCTTGGCTGTGCTCAAGGATCCTCCAAAATCAGAGAGATTTTGGCCTTCCTTGGCTCAAGAATCTCCAAAACTGGGGACTCTCAGCTCTGTCTGGGCCTCCCGAGGCTCTGGGGACAGCAGGACAGAACCCAGCCCTGTCCCCAGCCCTGTCCCCAGCCTTGTCCCCAGCCTTGTCCCCAGCCTCAGGCAAGGCTGAGTGTTCACCTTTGGCTTCCAGCCCCACAAATATTTGATAACTCAGAGCTTGGTGCTGTTAAAGGCCTTCACAGGGCTGCTGGAAAATCCCATTTTGACCTGAAAGGGTTTATTCAAGGGTTTATAGGGCCGAGCTGCTGCCTTGGAGCTCAGCTCCTCCCTCGCAGCCCAGCTCTCCCTCCTGCTGCTCACCTGCAGCTCGGGACTTTGCAGACCCAGGGGATTTTATTTGGGGGAATTTATTTATTTATTTTAGCTCCTTATCCCCGCGCTGGACTTGGCTTCAGGGCAGCTTTTTGCAGGGAAAAAGTTTTGGGGTTTTTTTTTCCTTCATCCCAGCAAAACCCATAGGGAAACCACGCTCAGATTTCTGGTGCAAAGCCCAGCTTTTGTGTGGGAGAAGGAATGGTTTTGTTTAATGACCTGCTGAGTTTTCCATGGGTTTTACTGAACAAGAATCGGGGTGAGGGAGAAGCAAAATCCCTGCACAGTGTGTGTGGGGGGGAATTTGTGTGGGTCCCGAGTGGAAATACATCAAAACGTGGGGTGTGAGGGGCCAAACTGGGCTTTGCTGGAGCTCCAGGGGTTTGAGGAGGGCTGGGCTGTGGGGTTGGTGTGGGGGACAGGGCTGGGGTGGCTTTGTGTCCTCAACACAGGGATTTGGGTTAAATCTCTGTGAGGAGGAGGAAGAGGAGGAGGAAGAGGTGCAAACCACAGCCCTGATGGGCCAAACTGTGCCTGGGCTCCTTCCACGAGGAGCTCTGGGAGTTTGCATGAAAAACACTTCTCTGGCCAAGCTGAATCTGCTACCCACGAGCATCCTCGGTGCAGCAGCCCAGAGGGGCACCTGCGTGTCTGCAGATCCCTCTTTTCCCATTTTAAAATAATTTTTTAAATTAAATTAATGGCTCCGGCCCTCGGGGGTTTGGTTCTGGTGCCAGACTGGGCACCTGGAGCTGGTGCAGGGGGCGTTTACTGGGTTAAACTGGATTTGACCCGTTCCCCTTGAAGTGAAACCACAGAGGGAAGGGGGGGTTTAATCCAAACCAGCCGGGGAGGGAGAGGGGGCTGAGGGACCCCTGCCCCACGTCCTGGAGCTGCAGAGGGAATTTCCCTGGAGCCTGGGAGCTCCTGGAGGCTCATCCCGCCCTGGCTGGGCTGGTGAGTGCCACAAGGGCCCTCGGGGGGTCACAGTGGGATTTCTGCCCCAGGATGGGGCAGAGCACGGCGGCTGGAGGAGGAGAGGACAGGGGGTGCCCGGGGTGGTTTTTGGGGTCCTGGGCTGGGTTTGAGCCCTCAGAGGAGCCCAGAGGGATGTGCTGGCCACCAGGTGCTCCAGCATTGCCTCACATCTCACTCAATGGGATTTTGTCAGAGCTGTATTTGTTTTGGTTTGTTCTGTGGTGGTTTTTTGGGTTTTGGGGTTTTTTTTTGGAGCATTTCTCAATCATTTCCAGCAAGGAAACAGCAAAATATAATGAACCTTTCCTATTGTCTCACCCTGCACCTGGTGGCCTCAGGAGCAGCAGGACCTGACAAACAAAGCCTCCCTTACCCCCTGTGCCTCAGGAGATGATGGATTGTCTCCGGTGACTGCAGGAGGCCCGGGGCAAGTGGCAGGAAAATCCCATTTCCTGCAGCCCCGTCCCCAGGGCCAGGTGGTGGCCAGGCTGGGACACGGCTGGGACACGTGAACTCAGCCGGGCCAGCAGGGCAGACACCTGGCACTTGTATTTGCGGGGTTTCCAGACAAAGTGAGGAATGATGAATCCAACTCTGTGTTCTTAGAAGGTGAATTTATTATTTTATTATCTATATTTATTAAATATTAAATTATATTATTGTATATGATACTATATTATATATATTATATATAATATATAATATAGTATCATTATAGTAATAATATTATATATTCTTATATTATTATATATGATACTATATTTTATATATTAGATTATATATTATTTTCTATTAGATTAATATATTATATATTATTGTATATTATATTTATATATAATATTATATAATATAATATAATATAATATAATATACAGAAAGGATACTGAAAGAAGGCTGAAAAGATAATAATGAAAACTTGTGACTCTCTCCTCAGAGTCCAACACAGCTTGGCCCATAAATAAAAACAATTCACATTAAATTCACATTACACCAATGAAACAATCATCTGTGGGTAAACAATCCCCAACCACATTCCAAAGCAGCAAAACACAGGAGAAGCAAATGAGAGAAAATTGTTTTCACTTTTTCTCTGAGGCTTCTCAGCTTCCCAGGAGATAATCCTGGGCAAAGGGATTTTTCAAAAAATGTGACGGTGACACCTGGGGACAGCTGGAATTTGGGAGTGCCAGCCCAGAGGTGCCCTGGCTGGCCAGGTGTCCTGCTGTCCCCTGGCACGGCGGGGAGGGCACAGCAGCCCTGGGTGTCCCCCGTGGTGCCGGAGGCTCTGCTGCTCCCCCCGGCCCCTGCTGGCACATTCCAGCCTCTCCCGAGGAACGGGAGGTAATTAAATCCAGGAGGAATGGTGTAATTAAATCCAGGAGGAACGGCTGTAATTAAATCCAGGAGAGCTGCGGGAGGAGCTGTTTGATGAGGAGCAGGGTGCAGGGGCTGGGAGCTGCTCGGGGGGCACAGATGGGGCTGGGGGCTCCTCTCCTTTCCAGGGAGAGCTGAGCAGAAACCAAAGCCCCCTCCAGGCGGGGGCAGAGCCGTTCCCAGACATAAAACTGGGCTTAGTCCATGTCAGAGCCTGGCTTTGCTCTGTGAGACCCTCCTGGGGTGGCTGTGCTGTCACCAGCCCTGTGTGACACCCCCGGGGTGGCACCTGTGGCTCTGCTGGGACAGCAGCAGCCGCTTGCTCCTCCTGGGGCGATGCCAGCCACAAGCTGCTCCTGGTTTTTGAGCTGGTTCTCAGCTCTGTCCTTCCCTAAATCCCTTCCTGGCCTCTGTGCATCCCCTGGAGATGGAAATGGGGCCCCCCAGCTGCCTGGATCCTGCTGGGGGTGCTGCTGGACAGGGGCTGGTGGCTCTCATGCCCCCCCAGCTGCCCGGATCCTGCTGGGGGTGCTGCTGGACAGGGGCTGGTGGCTGTGGAGATGCAGCTGCCAGTGCCACCCTGGGCTGCTCGGGCCACCCTGGCCCTGCAGGGGACGTTGTCCTGTCGCCAGGGAGTGGCAATGTCCTCGTGCTGCCAGTGCCACCCTGGGCTGCTCGGGGGCTGCTGCCCCTGCAGGGGACATTGCCACGCCCCAGACACAGCACAATGTCCTCGTGCTGCCAGTGCCCCCCTGGGCTGCTGCCCCTGCAGGGGACATTGCCACTCCCCAGACACAGCACAATGCCCTCGTGCTGCTCTCTGCCCGCTTGGCACGCTCCGCAGGGCACAGAGCCTCTCTCTGCTCTCACTTTTTCCCACCTAAACGCCGAATTTCTCCTCCCCACCCAGGGTGCTCCTGCAGCCTGGCGCTGGTTTATCCCGGTAAACGCTGCACGATGCCGCCCATCACCTTCCAGGACCTGCCCCTCAACATCTACATGCTCATTTTCGGCACCGGCGTCTTCATCTTCGTGCTCAGCCTCATCGTCTGCTGCTACTTCATGGGGTGAGCCGGGGGCACTCCCAGATCCTGTTTTGTCCCAGGAACCAGGGACAAACCCCCCGCAGCAGGGCAGGAAGCGCAGGAAGGGGCTCCTGTGTTCCAGGGAGCGTGCGGGGGCCGCATTGTGCGGCCAGGCAAGGGAAGGAGAGGGAGGATGTGCCTTTCCCTGCTCTCCCTGCTATTTTTAACCCCAAAAGCCGAGGCTGCAGCCGCTGCTCCTGCAGGGCCGGCTCAGCCCTGCCCTGCCTTGTCCCCTGCATCCCTCGGGCAGTTTTGGGAGCGCGTTTTGGGGCCGGGGCTGGAGCAGAGGCCGTGCCCGGTGCTCCAGCTCGGGCTGCCCCCGCGCAAACGGAGCCGCCGCTCCCAAATCCCGGGCGGGAGGGGCGCGTTCCCCTCGGTTTTGGGGAAATCCCGGGTATTTTTGGCTGCCAAACTGACGGTGCCTTTCTGTCCCCCCTCCCAGCAAGCTGCGGCAGCAGGCGCAGAGCGAGCGCTTCGGGTACAAGGAGGTAAAGCCGGGGATGAGCAGGGACACACCGGGGACACGGCGGGGACCGATCCTGCTCGTTCCAAAGCGCTGGGACCGGACCCCCTGCCCGGAATCCCCCTCCCCCGGGCTCATCCCGCTCCTGCCGGGCCGTCCCGGGTGTGAAATCCTGCCCCTCCTTCTCTCCCGCAGGTGGTTCTGAAAGGCGATGCCCGCAGGCTGAGCGTGCACGGGGTGAGCGGGCCGGGGATGGAGCTGGGATGAACCGGGATAACCCACGGGACAGGCCGGGGATGGAGCTGGGGTGAACCGGGATAACCCTTGGGAACACGGGACAGGCTGGGGATGGAGCTGGGATGAACCGGGATAACCCACGGGACAGGCCGGGGATGGAGCTGGGATGAACCGGGATAACCCTGGGGACACATTCCCCGTGTTCAGGAGCAGGGACAGGCCGGGGATGAAGCTGGGATGAAGCGGGATAACCCTCGGGACAGGCCTGGCACATGCTCTGGGGATGTGCGGGCCCGGATCGGGAGCGAATCCCCCCCGTGGGTGCTCTGGGCACTGGGCTGAGCTCGCGGCTGGCGATTCCCGGGATTTCCCGAGCCGCGGCGGTTCTCGCCCGCCCCCAGCCGCGCTCTCACCTCCCACAGCAGACCTGCGCCGTCTGCCTGGAGGATTTTCGGCTGAAGGAGGAGCTGGGGGTGCTGCCGTGCCAGCACGCCTTCCACAGAAAGTGAGTGCGCCGGGCGCGGCATCCCCGAATTCCTAACAGCAGGAATTCCCGGTGGGAATCGGCGTTCCCGAATTCCTAACAGAATGGGAACCGGCATTCCCGCATTCCTAATAGCAGGAATTGCGGGAATTCCCGGCGGGAACTGGCATTCCCGAATTCCTAACAGCAAGAATTCCCGGCGGGGATCGGCATTCCCGAATTCTTAACAGCAGGAATTGCGGGAATTCCTGGTGGGAATCGGCATATTCCCGAATTTCTGCCGGCAGGTGCCTGCAGTTCCCGGTGGAAATCGGTATTCCCGCATTCCTGCCTGCTGGAATTGCGGGAATTCCCGGCGGGGATCGGCATTCCCGAATTCCTAACAGCAGGAATTGCAGAAATTCCTGGCGGGAATTGGCATTCCCGAATTCCTAACAGCAGGAATTGCGGGAATTCCCGGCGGGAATCGGCATATTCCCGAATTCCTGCCTGCTGGAATTGCGGGAATTCCCGGCGGGAATCGGCATATTCCCGAATTCCTAACAGCAGGAATTGCGGGAATTCCCTGCGGAATCGGCATTCCCCAATTCCTGCCCACAAGAATTCCTGGTGGAAATCGGCATCCCCGAATTCCTGCCCGCAAGAATTCCCGGTGGGAACCGGTATTCCCGAATTCCTACCAGCAGGAATTCCTGGTGGGAATTGAGGTGCCTGCAGTTCCCGGTGGAAATCGGTATTCCCGAATTCCTGCCTGCTGGAATTGCGGGAATTCCCGGCGGGAATCGGCATATTCCCGAATTCCTGCCCGCAGGTGCCTGGTGAAGTGGCTGGAGGTTCGCTGCGTGTGCCCCATGTGCAACCAGCCCCGCACACAGCCCCGCGCCGGCATCGGGACCCTGCTGGACGAGCTGCTCTGAGGCGGCCCCGCTCCGGGATCCGCCGGGATCCACCGGGATCCGCCGGGATCCGCCTGCCCGGCTCCCTCCGCAGGGATCCCGGGTGGAATTTTCACCCCCAAGGCTTTGGGGTCTGTCCCTGTCCGGGCTGTGCTCCCCCTGGAGCCGGAATTCCCGGCGGGAAGCTGAGCCCCGGGTGCGGGTGGGGGTCTCAGAGCCCCCCTTTGCGGAGTTATTTCTGTGTCCCCCGAGCCCCCCACGGGGCAGAGGGATTGTACAGTTTGGTGTAAAAGTGATTAAATTGATGTTTTTTAGCCCGTCTGGGCTGTGGGTGCTGCGGGGATGGGGCAGGGGTCCCCCCGAGGGGACCGTGACCCCTGGGCGTGGTGACAGAGTGCCCAAAACAGCATCAGATGCCCCCAAACTGTGCCCGAGTCAGGGCAGAACGCCCCGAACCTTCCCGATTTCCCCGATTTTCACACGTCCAAGAGGTGATGACGTCAGTGGTGACATCACTGACCCCTCCAGGGCCGGCCCCCCCCCCAGGCTGTGCCCGCATCGGGGTGAACCCCCGGATTTGCCCATTCCCGGTGATTTTTGACACGTCCGAGAGAACGTGACATCAGCGGTGACGTCACAGCCCGAGGACTGTGCACGCTCTCTTTAATTTGCTCATTCCCACTGATTATGGACACGGGAAGGGGATGACGTGGTGGTGACGTCACAGAGCAGCATCACACGCCATGAGGATGACGTCAGCGGTTACATCATACACCACATAAGACCCTCCTACCTATCGAATTTCGCTGGTTTCGATGTGCAGAATGACATGGCAGTGACGTCACAAACCTAATCACGCCATCCTTTCACAAGGATGACACCAGCAATGACGTCACTTACAGCAGCTCTACAGTCGCTCTGTTTTTTGACGCGAAGACATTAAAATGACGTCGCGGTGACGTCAGGACCCCCCCGGCGGTCAGATGGGACTGTGCAATGTCGTAACAGCAGGGCGCACACGTCACGCAGCCGCGTGCCGCTCCCATTCATCATTTCCATGAACCGGAAGGATCGGTGCAATTATGGCCGCTCAGCAATGACGTCACCCGTAGCAGCCCTAGAGTTGCTCTGTATTTTACGGGAAACCATTAAAATGACGTCACGGTGACGTCAGGACCCCCCGGCGGTCAGATGGGACTGTGCAATGTCGTAACAGCAGGGCGCACACGTCACGCAGCCGCGTGCCGCTCCCATTCATCATTTCCATGAACCGGAAGGATCGCGGCAATGATGGCCGCGCCCGCACCTACCGCCGCGCCACTGCTCCGCCGCTCATGGCGACACCGCTGCCCCACCCAGCTCTCCCCGGTGTTTGTTTTATCCTCTCTAAGCCGTTCTCCCTGACCCTTCCGTTCCTATTTTCCGTTCTTTTTTGCCCCGCACCGCCGGTCTTTCCCCGCTCCGCCGTCGCGAATTAGCAATGCTAATTTATGCACACGAAACCACGCCCCGCTCCGCCGTCGGCTTTACGGCAAGCGGGGGGTTTTGCGACAGTTTGCGCGCGTGGTGCGGGTGGCGGCGGCGCAGCCGCGGTGACGGGACCGGGGGTGCTCGGGGGTCTGTGAGGGGTCCCGGGGGTCTGTGAGGGATCCTGGGGGTCTGTGAAGGGATCCCGGGGGTGCTCGGGGGTCTGTGAGGGGTCCCGGCGGTCTGTGAGGGATCCTGGGGGTCTGTGAGGGGATCCCGAGGGTGCTCGGGGGTCTGTGAGGGATCCCGGGGTCTGTGAGAGGATCCCGAGGGTGCTCGGGGGTCTGTGAGGGATCCCGGGGGTCTGTGAGGGGTCCCGGGGGCCTGTGAGGGATCCTGGGGGGTCTGTGAGGGATCCCGGGGGTGCTCGGGGGTCTCTGAGGCGTCCCGGGGGTCTATCTGTGAGGGGATCCCGGGGGTGCTCGGGGGTCTGTGAGGGATCCTGGGGGTCTGTGAGGGGATCCCGGGGGTGCTCGGGGGTCTGTGAGGGATCCTGGGGGTCTGTGAGGGGATCCCGGGGGTATTCGGGGGTCTCTGAGGGGTCCTGGGGGTCTCTGAGGGGATCCCGGGGTGTTCTGGGGTCTGTGAGGAGTCCCAGGAGTCTCTGAGGTGTCCCGGGGGTTTGTGAGGGGATCCCGGGGGTCTCTGAGGCGTCCCGGGGGTGCTTGGCGGTCTCTGAGGGATCCCGGAATATTCGAGGGTCTGTGAGGGATCTGGGGGTCTGTGAGGGGATCCCGAGGGTGCTCGGGGGTCTGTGAGGGATCCCGGAGTATTCGAGGGTCTGTGAGGGGATCCCGAGGGTCTCTGAGGTGTCCCGGGGGTCTGTGAGGTGTCCCCGGTCCCCGCTGCCGCCGGACGCCGCTCTCCCAGCGATGTGTGTGTGTTGGTAGCGGGGTGCTCGGGGGTCTGTGAGGGATCCTGGGGGTCTGTGAGGGGATCCCGGGGGTATTCGGGGGTCTCTGAGGGGTCCTGGGGGTCTCTGAGGGGATCCCGGGGTGTTCTGGGGTCTGTGAGGAGTCCCAGGAGTCTCTGAGGTGTCCCGGGGGTTTGTGAGGGGATCCCGGGGGTCTCTGAGGCGTCCCGGGGGTGCTCGGGGGTCTCTGAGGGATCCCGGAATGTTCGAGGGTCTGTGAGGGATCCTGGGGGTCTGTGAGGGGATCCCGAGGGTGCTCGGGGGTCTGTGAGGGATCCCGGAGTATTCGAGGGTCTGTGAGGGGATCCCGAGGGTCTCTGAGGTGTCCCGGGGGTCTGTGAGGTGTCCCCGGTCCCCGCTGCCGCCGGACGCCGCTCTCCCAGCGATGTGTGTGTGTTGGTAGCGGGGTTTGGGTGCGAGGCCATGGCCGGCAGCAGCAGCAGCAGCAGCAGCAGCAGCCCGGGCCCCTCGGCCGAGCGGGCGCTGCTGCGGGCCGGGCTGGCGCTGTCCGAGCGGCCCGGGGCGCTGCGGGAGCTGGGCGCGTCATTCCTATCCTGGCGGCCCCGCCGCGCCGGGAGCAGGACGGGGCCGAGCCGCCCGGCCGGGACGCGGCGCTGGCCGCCGTGGCGGAGCGGGCAGAGCGCGTTGGCGCCGTGCTCCTGCTGCTCCTGCAGAAGCTGGAGGATGCCCGGAGCCAGCAGCCACCGAGCAAGGTGCTGGGACACGCGTTCATCTTTGCTGTCACGCACAAAGATGAGAGGCCCTGGACCACGGCGAGGAGTCGGGCGGTGGCTCAGGAGGTGCTGGAGCGGCTGGTCCGGGCTGCGGGCTGCGGGTCCGTGGAGGAATTCCTGCGGGGGAAGGAGGAGGATGAGGAAGGAAGATTCGGAGTGGTGATGGGGATCCTGAAGCAGGAGTTGACCAAGTGAGTGGGGAGGGGAGTGTGGCATGGTTGGAGGGTCTCTGTAGGAAATACTGGGAAATTTCTGAGGCTCAGGATGTGATAAATATGAAACCAGGAGCTTTACAAATGGAAGGTGTTGGGGGATGATTGCCAGGGTTTGCTGCCAGCCGAGAGCCTCAAGCAGAGGGGACGAGCGCTGTGTGTTCCCTGAGCTGTGCCTGTCTCCCCAGAGACACCTGGAAGTGTAACCCTGCCTCCAAAGACGTGTTCTCCTGGGCTCTGCTCCGCGTCAGCCGGCCCTGGCTGTGCCCGCACCTGGAGCGGGTCCTGCCGCCCGCGCTGCTCCTCTCCGACGACTTCCAGGAGGAGAACAAAGTGCTGGGCGTGCGCTGCCTGCACCACATCGTCCTCAACGTGGTGAGGGAGGGCGGGGAGCGCTCTGGGCTGTTGTGTGAAGGGAGGGACAATCACAGAATGTCCTGAGCTGGGAGGGACCCGCAGGGATCCGAGTCCCAGCCCTGGCCCTGCTCAGACACCCCAGCAATCTCATCCACGAGCGTTTCCTGGAGCTCTGGTGGCCTCTGGGCTGTGCCTGTTCCCTGGGCAGTGCCCAGCACCCTCTGGGGAAAGAACCTGTCCCTAAAATCCAGCCTGACCCTTCCCTGACAGAGCTCCAGCCATGTGGGTCAGGTTCCTAACTTCTCTTGCTGGTGAATGGCAGGGTTAACCTGCACTTCCAGCAGTCCCTCACACTCCCCAGCTTTGGGAAGGCCCTGGCAGGGTTTAATCTGCATTTCCAGTAGTTCCTTTCACTCCCCAGCTTTGGGAAGGCCCTGGCAGGGTTTAACCTGCACTTCCAGCAGTCCCTCACACTCCCCAGCTTTGGGAAGGCCCTGGCAGGGTTAACCTGCATTTGCAGCAGTCCCTCACACTTCACACAGGGTTTAGGCTCCTGTGGTGCCCAGCAGTCACATCCTGCCCTCTGCTGTTGCAGCCAGGGGCGGATCTGTGCCAGTTCAACAGGGCCCAGGTGGTGTTCCACGCCCTCTACAACCACCTCTACTCACGGGAGGCCCCTCTCATCCAGGTAGGACGGCTGCCCTGGGCTTTGGGGTGCCTCGGGGTGGTGGCAGCCCCTCAGGTTGAGGCTGAGCCTGTTCCCTGTCACAGTGCAGCCAGGCTGTCACCAGCCTGTGGACAAAGTAACTCGGTGGATTCCAGGAAAACACCACAGAGGGAAGAGCTCTTTGCTGCTGCCCATTCCAGGTGGGCAGGGAGCAGCTTTGAAGCACTCAGCTCAGCGGGTGGCCACAGGGCTGGGATTTGTTTTTTGGAGAGAACACGAGCTCACATTCATCACTGTCCCCAAACCAGGCAGTGCTGCTGTGCCTGCTGGACCTGCTGCCCGTCCTGGAGCGATGCCAGCGGCGCCAGGGCCACGGCAGAGCCACCTCCCCCTGGGACCAGGTGCTGCAGCTGGTGCTGACCCACATGGAGGCCGAGCACCGGCTGGCACTGCGCAGGGTCTACGCTGGGACCCTGCCTGCCTTTGTCACCAGGTGGGACAGAGGGGACAGCGGCACCTGGGGCCCTGCCCACCTTCCTCAGGGGGTGGGAGCTGCACCTCAGGGTCCTGCCCACCTGCCTGAGGGGTGGGAGCTGCACCTGGAGCCTTGCCCACCTTCCTCAGGGGGTGGGAGCTGCACCTGAGGGCCCTGCCCACCTTCCTGAGGGGTGGGAGCTGCACCTGAGGGTCCTGCCCACCTGCCTGAGGGGATGAGAGCTGCACCTCAGGGTCCTGCCCACCTTCCTGAGGGGGGGGAGCTGCACCTGAGGGTCCTGCCTGCCTTCCTGAGGGGGTGGGAGCACAGGGATGGGCCCTGGGCTTGGTATCCAAGGGTATGCTCCCTCCTCAGGGTGTGTTTTTGGGATCCAGGGGATCTATCCTCCCCCCTCAGGGTGTGTTTTTGGGATCTAAAGGATCTATCCTCCCTGCTGAGGGTGTGTTTTTGGGATCCAGGGGATCTATCCTCCCCCCTCAGGGTGTGTTTTTGGGATCTAAAGGATCTATCCTCCCTGCTGAGGGTGTGTTTTTGGGATCCAGGGGATCTATCCTCCCCCCTCAGGGTGTGTTTGTGCCACCAGACTGGGCATCCTCATCGTGAGGCACCTGAAGAGGCTGGAGCGAGTCATCCTGGGCTACCTGGAGGTCTCTGATGGCCCTGGGGAAGAGGCCAGACTGGGAATCCTGGAGACCCTACAGTGCACCATAGAGCATGCCTGGCCCAGGTACCTCTCTGGGGGGATTGCACACAGAAAAGCTGTCCTGGAAACCTGTCCTGATGTGAATGTTTCATTCCTATCCTGGATGTTTCTGCTTTAAGACCCAAAGTTACTTCTTCTTGAGGAAAATGCCCTGAAATCCTAAGGGAAAATTGTCCCAGGAAGTACTCACTGCTATTACTAAAAAACCTGGGTCCAAAATTAAGCTGGGTCCTCATTTTGACCCAACTTGTGCTTATTCCAAAAGCAGAAATTAAACCAACATGGAATAACCCTGTGCTGTGGACTGGGCTGTGCAGTGCCAGCATCCCCAGCACCATCCCGAGGTTCCTGCCTGTCCAGGGCTGTCCTGGCAGCAATCCTGCCCCAGAGCAGCCCCAGGCTGTGCTGTCCCTGGCTGGGGACGGGTTTGGGATGAGCTGTTTCCCTTGCAGGATGCCCTGCAGGCTCCCTGTGCTCCTCAAGGCCCTGCTGAGGCTGCTCTGGGACGTTCACACGGAGCGGGGCCCGACCCCCGAGCCCGTCAGGGCTGCCCTGCTGCACAGGGCCACCCAGTGCCTCATCCTGCTGGACCGCTGCTGCCAGGGCCAGGTCAAGGTGAGCCAGGGCTCCCTGGGGGTGCCAGGGCCAGGTCAAGGTGAGCCAGGGCTCCCTGGGGTGCCAGGGGGGTGCCAGGGCCCTCTTCCCTCCCAGCCCAGCAGGAGTTTGGATTCCCCCCCTCCCAGCAGCACTGAAAGTGCCTCGGTAGCTGTTGATGGGCTCAGTGGGTGCTGTGCTCCCCCACAGGGCTGGGGAGGGTGGGTGACACCATCACGAGTGCCAGGGCACTGGCAGTGCTGCTCTGCCCCTGCAGGTGCTGCTGGCAGGGGTGCACAGCAGCTGTCAGGAGGACCGGGTGCGGGAGTGCCTCAGGAAGGTGCAGGAGAGCACCTGACACTGCTCACCCCCTTTTGTACAATAAAATGTTGTATTTATTGAAAGTTCTGTCGTTCTTGTCTCACCTGTGAGCCCTGCACTCCCCCAGACACAGCTGAGGTTTCTCCAGAGCCCCCCAGGCCAGGGCCCTTCCTGGAGCAGAGGCTGGGCTCAGCTTTTTGAGAGGAGGTGGGAGATGTTCCCTTGAGCTGGGCCTCACCCAGTTGTACAAACTCACTGCAACTGCCTGGGCTCGGGACACAAACCCCAAAAAACATGTAGAGTATCAAACCAGGAGTTCTGAGGGTCTTGTGAGGTGGGTGACAGATGCTGGAGTCCCACTCTGGTGACACGTCTGGGGTTTGTCAGTCAGTACAAAATGGGGTCAGGGGGGCTCAGGCTGCTTTTGTCTTGGTGCTGGGCTCTGTTTCCTCTTCGTACTCGATCTCGATGTAGGGGCGTTTCCTCCTGGCTGGGCCCTTCAGGGGTGTTTTCCCTTTAGATTTGGAGTGGGAGGCTTTCTTCTCTACTTCTTCCTCCTTTTCCTGCTCCTCTTCACTGCTTGTCTCCAGCTTATCCATGTCCTGAGGAAGAATTGAGTGAGCAGAGTGATGTCAGAGCAGGTTGTGCAACTAAACCTCCTCTTTCCCCAAAATCACCTCATTGCAATCCCACTGCACAATCCCTGGCTCCAGAGGAGCTGGGCTGGGCTCCCACTGTCCAATTCTCTTGCACAGCTGATTTTGGTGCCTCTTACCCATCCCCAGAGACCCCCAAGGGTGGAGTTTGTGCTTCACCCACCTCGAAGTCGCTGAGCTCGCTGTCCTCTGCTTCCACAAACTCCCTTTTGTCCACGTCCTGCAAGGAACAGAGGCAGGGACTGAGCAGTGGCATGAAGAGCCACCAAGGCCACCACAAGGTTTTTCTGAGCTGTCCCGAGTTCTTCTCAGCCCATCTCAGCACCAGGGCAGGGCTGGAAGCTTTACCTCATCATCATCATCATCATCTTCTTCCCTCTCTGCATCCGACTCACTCTCGCTCTCTGCATCTTGCTGCTGGAGGGCCTTGTCAAAGGCGTGGATGGGGAAGTTGTAAATGTCTCCATACTGAAAGGAAAAATGGGATTTTCCATAAGCCACAGCAGGAAGATGGACTTTGGGCTGGGGGGGCACTGCATGGGGCAGCACCAGCCTGAGGTGTGGATCAGCCCCTTCCCAACCCTGAGCCCACACTCCTGCAGGAGGGGAGCCCTCGTGTTTTGGGGCTCAAGCAGGAGGGCAGGCCTTGTGTTTTGGGGCTCCCTGTGCACAGGAGGGGAGCCCTCATGTTTTGGGGCTCAAGGAGGAGGGCAGCCCTCGTGTTTTGGGGCTCCCTGTGCACAGGACAGGAGGAGAGCCCTCATGTTTGGGGGCTCAAACAGAAGGGCATTCCTCATGTTTTGGGGCTCCCTGTGTTTTGGAGCTCCCTATACACAGGAGGGGAGCACTTGTGTTTTGGGGCTTCCTGTGTTTTGGGGCTCCCTGTGCACAGGACAGGAGGCAAGCCCTCATGTTTTGGGGCTTCCTGTGTTTTAGGGCTCCCTGTGCACAGGACAGGAGGAGAGCCCTTGTGTTTTGGGGCTCCCTGTGCACACAGTAGGAGGGCAGCCCTTCCTTTAGGGGCTCCCTGTGTTTTGGGGAGCCAGGCACCCCATTCCCCCATGGCAGCTCACACCGTGAGCTCCGTGTGAGCCTCACCGTGTCCTGCTTCAGCCTTTCCAGCAGCTCCTTCTCGATGGCGTGGAGCATTTGTGTTTTGGGGCTCCCTGTATTCTGGGGCTCCCTGTGCACAGGGCAGGAGGGCTGCCCTCGTGTTTTGGGGCTCCCTGTGCACACAGTAGGAGGGCAGCCCTTCCTTTAGGGGCTCCCTGTGTTTTGGGGAGCCAGGCACCCCATTCCCCCATGGCAGCTCACACCGTGAGCTCCGTGTGAGCCTCACCGTGTCCTGCTTCAGCCTTTCCAGCAGCTCCTTCTCGATGGCGTTGTCCAGCTGGGCAGCGATCAGGGCTTTCTCCTGGGGAACACAGAGCAGCTGTGTGAGGCCAGGGGCAGGGGGACAGCAGCAGTGGCACGAGGTGACACGGGGCACTCCTTACCTCGCGCCTGTTCTCGCGCCTCTCGATCTTCCTGCGCAGCGGGACGAGCTTCCTCCTGCAGGGAACACACTGGGAGTGGCACAGCCAGCAGCTGCAGCATTCCAGACGGGGGGAACCTCCTTATCTTCCAGGATAAGAAAGATCTAAAGCTGGTAGAGGGTGTCCAAAGGATGGGGAAGGGTCTGGAGGGGCCACAGGAGGGGCAGCTCCTCCCGAGGGACAGCTCTGACCTTGGCTCTCTGTGACAGGGAGTGGCTGGAGCTGGGGCAGGGCAGGGTCAGGGTGGATTTTAGGGGAAGATTCTTCCTCCAGAGGGTGCTGGGCACGGCCCCGAGGCTGCCAGAGCTCCAAGATGGACACTGCTCCCAGGGGGGCACAGGTGGGGTTGTTGGGGTGTCAGTGCAGGGCGAGGAGTTGGGATCAATGATCCCTGTGGGATCAGTGATCAATGAGTTGGAATCAATGATCCATGAGCTGAGATCAATGATCCCTGTGGGATCAGTGATCAATGAGTTGGAATCAATGATCCCTGTGGGACCAATGATCAATGAGCTGGGATCAGTGGTTCCTGTGGGATCAATGATCACTGAGTTGGGATCAGAGATCCTTGTGGGATCAATGATCAATGAGCTGGGATCCATGATCCCATTGGGATCAATGAGCTGGGATCAATGATCCCTGTGGGATCAATGAGCTGGGATCAGTGATCACTGAGCTGGGAACAATCATCCCTGTGGGATCAATGATCAATCAGTTGGGATCAATGATCAATGAGCTGGGATCAGTGATCCCTGTGGGATTCCTGAGCTGGGATCAATGTTTCCTGTGGGATCAATGGGCTGGGATCAATGGTTCCTGTGGGATCAATGATCTGGAATCAATGATCACTGAGCTGGGATCAGTGATCCCTGTGGGATTCCTGAGCTGGGATCAATGTTTCCTGTGGGATCAATGGGCTGGGATCAATGGTTCCTGTGGGATCAATGATCTGGAATCAATGATCACTGAGCTGGGATCAGTGATCCCTGTGGGATTCCTGAGCTGGGATCAATGTTTCCTGTGGGATCAATGAGATGGGATCAATGGTTCCTGTGGGATCAATGATCCGCCAGCTGGGATCAGAGATCCCTGTGCGATCCCTGAGCTGGGATCAATGTTTCCTGTGGGATCAATGATCAGTGATCTGGGATCAATGATCACTGAGCTGGGATCAGTGATCCCCGTGATCCCTCCAGCTCAGAACATTCCCTCAGGACATTTTCACGCTGCATTCCTGCAGCTCATCCGTGTCAGATCCATCTAAACCCCCCAGGAAAACAGGGACCAGCTCCGTGTCCCAGCAGCTCAGGAGAGGGGCAGTGGCTCCAGAAGCCACCAGAGGTCACTCCATGGCCACTGCCGTGTCCCTTACTGTCTCTTGAGGGTCAGCTTGCGGATGCGGATCAGGTACTGCGTGATCTTGGTGAACCTCTGCTTGCACTTGTGCCGGATGAAGCGCGGCCAGTAGATGAGGTTCTCGTCGATCTGCTCCAGAGCCTTCTCGTAGTTCTTGCTCAGCAGCACCTGCGGGGACAGGGCAAGGGCTGGGTGACAGAGCAGGACGAAACAGGGACGTCTGGGAGGGGCTGCATCGCCCCCAGAGTCACGGAATCATTTAGGGAAAGCCCCCCAAGGGGGATCCCCACCTCGCCCCCAGTGCCACCCCCAGGATGGGAATTCCAAACCTCCCTGGGCAGTTCCATGCCTGAGCAGCCTCTCCATGGAGAAATCCCTGCTGCTGCCCAGTGTGTCCCTCCCCTGGAACAGCCTCCCTGCCCTCCCTGCCACTGTCCCTGCCGTGTCCCCGAGCTCACCCGCTCCCAGAGGCGCCGGGGAAACGCCGCCCGCTCAATGGCCTTCATGTAGAGATAACAGCGACCTGGAACAGGCAACAGCCCCCTGAGCCCCTGCCCAGAGCCAGGCCGGGCAGGGATGGCAGTGCCCGGGGGCAGGGCACTGCCACCCACTGCACCCCAGAACCATCCAGGCTGAAAAGAGTCCCCAGATCAATCCAAGCTCTGACCCCCAGTGCCACATGCAGCATTGCCATGGCACTCCGGGGATGGGGGCTCCAAACCCCCCTGGGGGCCCTTCCGAGGGCTGATCCCTGTCCCTGCAGGGTCCTGCTCCCACCTTTCTCCTCGCGGACTGTGGCGTACTGGCTGTTGGCCAGCGGGCAGGAGGAGCGGTTGCACAGCCCCGTCAGGTTGTACTCGTTCCTGCAGAAATTCTGCGTTTTGGTGCTGCGAAAAAAAGGGCAAAGAATTCATGAGGGGAGGGCAGGAAGACCCCACCACTTCCCTGTGACTCTCTGTGTGGCCGCGGTGGCGCAGAGGGGACACTCTGGGGGTACCCGAGCGTGTCCCTCCCGTCCCTGTCCCTGCTGGGTCCCCCTCAGCCCGCCCCCAACCCAAACTCACGTCATCTTGTAGGAGCAGAACTGCCTGTTCCCCAGCATGCTCCAGACAACCTGCGGGGGGACAAACAGCGGGTGACACACCGCGACACGCCTGCCCCGCCTGTCCCCGCTCCGACCCCACAAACACCGCGCTTCTCCCGGTGTCCCCCGGCACGGCGAGCAGGCACAGCACATGGGCTGCTGCCAGCTCCTCAGTCACACCCGCGGTGCCCCCGGAGCCACAGCGGTGCTGGGGACAGACAGAGGGACAGACAGGGGGACAGACAGGGGACCGCGGCCACGTGCGGCGGGGACACGGCCGGGCCCGTGAGCCACAGCGGCGCTGGGGACAGACACAGGACAGACAGGGGGACAGACAGGGGACCGCGGCCACGTGCGGCGGGGACACGGCCGGGCCCGGCGGGCGTTTGACACGGGGCCGGAAGAACGGTCGGACTCACATCGTCCGAATGCATGGTGGCGGTGACAGAGGTGGCGGCGGTGGCACAGACGGCGGTGGCGGTGACACAGGTGGCGGTGACAGCGCGGACCGACGGTAACGGGAGCGCCGGCCGCGCGGGCTAGGGCGCCGCCATTACAGGAAGGGGCGGGGCGTGCGAAGTCTCGCGAGAGCGGCGGCCCTGAGGGAGGGGAAAAGGGCGGGAAAAGGGCGGGCCGCGCTGTCATGGCGGCCGCGCCCCTCAGGGTGGAGATCACAATAACCCTTGTTTAAACAGGCGCTGAGGGGCCCCGAGCGGTGTGTTTGGGGCAGGTTAAATCTGCACTCTGGAGCCGTGGGAGAAAATGCAGTTTCTCTGCTAAGCTCTTCCCTCAGAGCTGACAAAGCCACATTAAATACAGTGATCTACCTGGCTTTGTTGGCTGAGTCTAAACCTTATTCCCACCTCAGTTCCTTTAGAGCTCTTCAAACGAGTAAATGAGTTTAATGCACGTTGGGAAGGACACACGAGCAGCACAGACACAGCACAATACATCAGACTACACCACAAACAAATGAAGGTTTTTAGCATCCTCAGAGGAGCGGTGACATGAGTGACATCTTTAGCGCCGGCTGATTCCATGGCTGAGTCCCACAGCGGCGTCACGGAATGGATGGAGCCTCCAACCCCTGGAGCAGAGGTTGGAGATTGTTGAGTCTGGGGCAGGCTGGGCCGGCAGTGGCTGCCCTCACATCCGTGTTCTGTCACCATAATTACAATTCCAAAGCAGGGCAGACATTCCTTGGCTATTCCATGTTTTCCTCCTCCCCGTCGCTCTCCTCCGTGAGGGGCGATTCCCGCTGGGCTTCCTTCGTGCTGTAGCTTTTGGGTTTCATGGCGCACTCCTGGCTCAGGATGGCCTGGGTGAAGCAGAGCAGAAATCATGCTTTAATAAAAGTAATGATTAATTTGATCAGTTAACAGGAGTGTTACCACACTGGGAAAAAAGCCAAAGCAGACTTTTCCCCAGGGAACACAAGCTGTGAGCGCAGGGAAGGACCCTCTAAACCTCCCTGCTTTTATCTCACTTTTTTTGTCCATTTTTGAGGGCGGCACGGAGCCCAACAGGGAAGACACAACCCCTGGCAAATTCATTCTTAATTCCCTCAGATCCCTGGGATGTGGAACCCCAGGAGAACACCCTGACTGACCATCTTCTCCTCCGTGGCCGGGGGGCTGCGCAGGAGCCAGCAGAGCGGGGCGTAGGCCACGTTCAGCACGCCCACCATCACCATCAGCCAGGGGAAGCCCAGGGCTCGCGCGATGGCCCCGCCCGTGGACGGACCTGCGAATTCCGGTCAAAAAAAGTGACAAAACTCCGGGGAGGTGCACCTCCACTGCGAGTAAAACTCTCCTACCGACAGCAAAGCCCGTGCAGAAGGCCACGTCGGCGATGGCGTAGACGGTGCCGTAGGCTGAGGTGTGGCGCAGGTCCACCAGGTAGCCCATGATGGGCATCATGGAGGAGTCCACCATGCCTGCCCGGGGCATGAGGGGCTCCTCAGTCCCCCTGTCCCCGGGGAGCTGCCCCGGGGCAGCTGCAGGACTCCCAGCTTACCTATGGCAAAGCCCAGGCCGGCGTTGGGGCCGATCAGCCCGTAAATGTTGGTGGCCAGAGGGACCTGGGGAGGAGAGGGAGGAGGGGTGAGGCCAGGAGAGCTGTGGGAGGTGGGAAGGTGGGACACAGGCCATGGAATTGTGGGATGGGAGCTTAAAGATCTTTCTGTCCCAGCCCTGCCATGGGCAGGGACATTTCCCACTCTCCCAGGGTGTTCCAGCCTGGCCTTGGGCACTTCCAGGGATCCAGGACCAACAGCTCCTCTGGGATATTACACACTTCTATTTAACTACACACTTGTAATTTTAGTGTTATTACTTAATTTTGGAAGGGTTTTTTATGGCTTTAGGTTAAATGTACTATTCTCTTGGGAGTTAGTTAGTACAGAGAGTTTAAAATTTTTAGTATTTAGAACTCTAACACCATCCCAGCTCCTCACCACCCTCACAGGGAGGAATTTCTTCCCAATGTCCCACCTAACCCTGCCGTGTGTCACTTTGAAGCCGTTTCCCCTCGTTGTGTCCCTCTATCCCTTGTGAATCCAGGCTCCCTTCAGGTCCTGGACAGCCACAGGTCACCCCGCAGCCTTTCCCAGGCTGAACAATCCCAAATCTCAGCCTGAAGATCTGGAGATCTGCAAGCCCTGAGCACTGGCTGTGGCAGGAGGGTGAAAATCCCTGCAGGGACACCTCGGATGCCCCTGTAGATTCCCCCTGTGGGGATCCCACTTCACATTCCCCTGTGGGGATCCCACCTTGGATTCCCCCTGTGGGGATCCCATGTCAGATTCCTTCGGATTCCCCCCGTACTCACACAGAGGAGGCTGATTCCCACCACAACCATCCCAATCATGGAGCACAGCCACCTGCAACGTGAGCACAGGGCGGGAGCTCTCAGCCTCGAGCAGAACATGCTGAAATTTGGGCTGGGCTGAGCCCAAATCTTTAATATCCCGCTTACCTGCCCATCCTGTTGGCCAGAATCCCAAAGAGGTTGGTGCCAATGAGGTAGGAGATGCTGGCAGGCAGGAACGCCATCCCTGGGAGACAGAAAGGATTTAAAAGTGTCTCGTGCCCAAGAAAACACAGATTTGCCCAATTTTTCACTCCCCAATGGCCTCATTTTGAGAATATAACAAGCTAGGCCAGGCACGTGAACATCTCCTGCCACAATTCCTCCCGCTTCCACCTTTCCACCTTTTCCCTCACTAAATAAAGAGGAATAAAGCTGCTTAAGTAAAAAGCTCAGGGATCATTATGTAGCTCACAATTAAATATTTGCTCTCCCTGCTGCTTTACCAGTTGTTTATTTTTCATATCCTCTCCTGCTGACAATAAATAAAAGTGAGCAGCTCCATTTCCCTGGACAGCTTCCTTATTGGAGCACGCTGATTCGTGTTTAATTTCCTCTCCTCTAACAGTACACAACCTGGTTAATCCTGCAGGTTTACCCCGAGCTCTTCTGGGTTCTTTTTCCCAGAGTTCTGGGTGAAAGAGACCCAGTAAAGAAACCCCTTGAGTTCTGAACAGCTCGTGAGAGGGGTGGTGTTGAACTCTGAATCCAAACTGCTCTCAAATCTCAGGCATCTGAACACCTTAGTGAACATACTGGGATTTTTTTCTGTTAAATCACTTTGAGGTGACTTTGAGAAAATCCCAAATACATTCCCCAAGGTGTTCAGGTACCTGTGATTTCCTCTGGTGACAGGGGAGCCCTGAGTGCGTTTCCCTGGGTTCTGCCCCTTCTCCCAGTGCCAGGATCCCTGGGTGCTGCTTTCCTTCCTCTCTCCAGAGAAGCTTTCAGCGCCTGCTGTCGCTGAGGATAACTCAATCAGGAGCAATTCCAGCCCCCTGCTCGCAGCCTGCAATCCAATTTGGGATCTAAGTGCAGCCCAGGGGGTGATTCCTGCTCCGCTGGGGTTTTATCACCATTTCTGGTTGTTTCTGCAGCGAGCACAGGCGCTGTTATCTCCACATCCCATTTTCCGGGCAGCTGGCAATCAGCAGAGCCCGTCCTGCCCTGCCTGGGGTGCTGGGCACGGCCCCAGCTCGCTCTGCAGAGCCCATCTGGCCCCCCCAGCCCCGGCCCAGCACGAGCCCTGCACAACATGGGCTCCCTGCCCCGTTATTGCTCTGCCGGGCAGCAAATCCCACACAATTTTTGCAATAACAGAGCAGAGCAGCCACCACTGAGGACATTTCCAGCTGGAATTGGAGCCGTGCCCAGCCTGGGATCGCTCGCTGCACGGGCAGCAGGGCAGATGTTTCCTTCTCTTTTGGTGGAGTGATAGAAAAGATGATTCAACCCCTCCTGCGGTGCCCAGGCAGGGCCAGATCTTGGTCCCTGGAAGTGTCAGGGCTGGGATCAGTCACAGGCTGGACCCGGGGGCTCCTGGGGGTTTTTTTTGGGGTTCTGAGCTCTCTGGAGCTCAGGGGAAGAGGCTGCAGAGCAGGGGACCTACCGAGCTGCCACTGCGGGGAGCACATGGTCTGCAGCATCCAGATGGGCAGCGTGGGCTCCAGCATGGCCACCCCCATGTTGGAGAAGCAGAGGGCTCCTGGAAAAGGGAGAAAAGGGAGAAAAGCTCGGGTTTAGCCCCTTTTTGTTGCTGTTTCCAGCAGGCGGGAGGAAATTTTTAACGGGGGGACAAATTTAAGGCTCCACCTTTACCTGCAGCCACCAGGATGTAGGGGTCTCGCAGCAGGGTGGACACAGGGGTGGCTTTGGTGCTCTGCAGAGGGGCTGACGTGGGCTGGGGGCTGTGCGTGCCCTCAGCTGGCCCTGGCACAGCCCCAGCCCCAGGCAGTGCCCACCTCCCCCAGCCAGCGCCGTGCTCACCTCTGGGGAGATCCGCGAGGGCTGCAGGATGCACAGCTGCAGAGCTGGGGAGAGAACACGGCTGGGGGCTTCTTCCTTCCTTCCATCCATCCCTCCATCATCCATCCATCCATCCATCCATCCATCCATCCATCCCCCTGTCCCTCCCCTCAGCCCCCCCCAGCCCAGAGCTCAGCCCCAGCTGCAGGAGCTGTTTGGGGCTGTGCTTGGAGCGGGCAGGGCAGGAGGAGGGAGCCCCAAATCCGCCTGGAGAGGTTTGAAAGGGTTTTATCACCCCCGAATGCTCCCGTCGGGCTGGCGGCTGGGGAGCTGGAGCGGGACAGGAATGGGACGAGGAGAAGAAAAGGGTTAAAGCAGGAACTTTGATGGGCACGAGCCCCGTGCTTCATTCCCCGCGGCTCTCGCACGCTTCATTAGGGATATCTTGCTTTACAGCCAGACGAGGACGGTAACTGGGGCTGTAATTTAATTAGTTCCGTGCTTCCCACTGCAAATGCAGCTCCTGCTGGCTGGGACTTTGCCGTGGCACTCGGGAAGCTCCCGTGGCCTCAGTGCCATCCACGTCTGCTGGCAAAGCCGGGCTCCTTCATGGCACCAGGAGGCTGCAGACAAGGGTGCCTTGCCAAAGAATTCAGAGTTCAGAGAGCTCCACTGAACGGGCTGCTGGAGCCATCACAGCAGTCAGGGGGTTATTAAACAATGAGGGATTTGTTCCTGCTCTGCTGCTGTGTCAATCAGCTGGAGATGGCAAAAACGGGATTTAATACTCATTAAATGATGATGATGATGGAATAAGCAGTGCTGGTGGTGTCACCCACCTGTGCTGAGGTGCCTCTTCCTCCCCACATCCACATTCCAATAATTTCCTTTATTTCTGGGGTTCCACCCTTTGGTTTCTCACCTCCATCCAGGAGGGCGAGGAAGGCCAGGACCAGGAACGGCGACGCTTTCCCCACGAATTCGTACATGATGCTCCCGAAGGGTGCCCCGACTGCAAGGAAGGGCTGGGTCACACCCTGGCAGTGCCACCGTGCCCAGAGCCTGGCAGTGCCACTGTCCCCAGGGCCTGGAGGTGCCACTGTCCCCAGGGCCTGGAGGTGTCACTGTCCCCAGGGCCTGGAGGTGCCACCGTGCCCAGAGCCTGGCAGTGTCACTGTCCCCAGGGCCTGGAGGTGCCACCGTGCCCAGAGCCTGGCAGTGTCATTGTGCCCAGAGCCTGGCAGTGTCACTGTGCCCAGAGCCTGGCAGTGCCACCGTGCCCAGAGCCTGGCAGTGCCACTGTGCTCAGGGCTTGGAGGTGTCACCGTGCCCAGAACCTGGCAGTGTCACTGTCCCCAGAGCCTGGCAGTGCCACTGTGCTCAGGGCTTGGAGGTGCCACTGTCCCCAGGGCCTGGGGCTGCTCTGAGTCCCTGCTGGGTGTTTGGGGAGGTGTCAGTCCCACAGGCAGTGCCAGGGAGGGGACAGGGGGAGGGAGGGGAGCACCCAGCCTCTGGAAGGTGGCATTGCAGGCCCAGGTGACGCCGTGGAAGGTGTAAAGTGGCATTGCAAGACCAGGTGACTCAGTGGAAGGTGGCATTGCAGGCCCAGGTGACGCTGTGGCCATGTCCCATTGGGGGACACAGGGGACACAGGGGCTCCGTACTCAGCACTCCCAAGGCCAGGCCTCCCAGGGCGATGCCCATGGCGCTGCCCCTCTCCGCGTCGTCCGGGTACACGCTGGCCAGCAGCCCCAGGCCTGGGGGCACACACAGAGCCCACCTCAGCCTGGGGGCTCCTCTGCCATTCTGGGGGTTCAGCTGCTCCCTGGCTGGGGGTGGGGGCACTGAGGAGGAGGAGAAGGAGGAGGAGAAGGAGAAGGAGAAGGAGAAGGAGAAGGAGAAGGAGAAGGAGAAGGAGAAGGAGAAGGAGAAGGAGAAGGAGAAGGAGAAGGAGAAGGAGAAGGCAGCCAGGGGAGCTGATGCAGGGACGGAGGTGCAGAACCTTCACCTGCCACCGATGAGAAGGAGGAGCCGACGCCCTGCAGGGCTCTGGCGGTGAGCAGCAGCGTGTAGGTGCCTGAGAAAGCAAACACTGCAGAGGGAGGGCAGAGCTGGGCTCAGACTGGGCGAGGCTGGCCCCAGCCGGCTCCGGAAGGGGTGAGAGGGCAGAGGGATCGTCCTTGTCACCCTTTCCTGGGCCTGGGGGCTCTGCTGTGTCCTTTCTGACACGGAGCAGGTGATGGGGAGGGTACTCACTGATGGTGGAGAGGAACATGATGGTGAAGCCCAGGAACATGGGGATGTGGTACCCAATCCTGGAATGGGAAAAAAGAGGCCCCAGCTCAGGAGGGCTCCTTGTTCCCCCCTGGGGAATGTCTGTGGGCTGGGAAGCAGCTCCTGAGGGGGTGCTGTCCCCACAAGTGCTGCTCAGAGGGACCCCAGTGCCCCCCAATAACTCTGCAAAGCCCCCCAGAGCCAGAGCCCTGCTCCCCACCCCTGTGCACAGCCCAGCTCAGCGTCTGCAGGAGGGAAAGAAAACCTGAAAATAACATTTTATCCATCCACAGCGGGTTGGGAGGCTGCGTTTGTTTATCCCCTGCTTGCTGGTATCAAACAGCACCTGCCAGCACCTGAGGAGAGCATCAGAGAGCTTCATGCTGGGACACAAACCCACCAGGCACGTGCAGGCTGCCAGGAAAGGTGTCTGCTGCCTTTTGGGTGCATACATTTCACCTCTTGCTGTTTCCCTCCCGGCAATCCCTGCAGCTGCAGGCCATTCCTCAGCTCCTGCTGCTTCCAGCAGCCGAGGAATCGCGAGTGACAGGTGAGCAGTGCCACGGCTGAGCCTCACAGTTAAAGGGCAAATGGCATGGGTATGTGTTAGGGGAAGTTTTATAGATTTATAGTTGTGTTTTACCCCCTTTGTGGTGTTATTATGGGGCGGCCTGGGTTTGGGATATTTCGGGGAGTTGGCAGGTTGGATATTTGGGAGTTGTTACCATGGCAACAGCTGACCTCCAATCAAGGTTTCATGAAGTGACCTCCACCCCTGGACAGAACTTTGGGAGGGGCTAAAGGGTTAAAAGGCAAAACTTCCACTGTGTGGAGCAGCACATGGTGGCAAAAACCCTCTGCTCCCTGTAATATCTTCTCCATCCAGTCTTCTGCCGTATTTTTGATAAGGTTTTAATAAACCTTTCACATTTTTGAGAGCCAGTGTCGTTTCCCACCCACGGAACCCCAGCTCTGACCTACCTGTTGGTCAGCACACCCACCCAGGGGTTGACCAGCAGCTGCACCAGAGCCTTGGAGGCGAAGAGCAGCCCCACGCGGGTGTTCTCCTGCTCCAGGAACTGCCCTCCCTGCAGGCAGCTCCTGCCCGGGGCTGGGGGGTGCCCTGGGGGGCTCGGGAGGTGCCCTGGGGGGCTGCTCGGGGGGTGCCCTGGGGGGCTGCTCGGGGGGTGCCCCCGGGGGATGCTCGGGAGGTCCCCGGAGGTGCCCGGGGGGTGCCCTCGGGGGCTGCTCGGGGGGTGCCCTCGGGGGATGCTCTGGGGATGCCCTCGGGGGCTGCTCGGGGGGTTCCCGGAGGTGCTCGGGGGGTGCCCTCGGGGGCTGCTCGGGAGGTTCCCGGGGGTGCTCGGGGGATGCCCTGGGGGGCTGCTCCCCCTCCCGCTGCGCGGCCCCAGGGCGCTGCTGAAGCCCCGAACGGGCACGGTGGTGTTGTCAAAGGAGGAGAGCACGGAGGAGAAGGGAGGAGGAGCCCCCGGGGCTGCGGGGCTGGGCTCGGGCACGGCCGGGCTCGCGGAGCTCCTGGCGCCTTCGTACTCGGTGGTGTAGAGGAAGGTGGGGACGATGGGGACTGGAAAAAAAAAGCCGGGGTAGGGATTAGTGAGGGATTGAGGGGTTTTCCTGCAGTTCCTGGCTCGGGTCCGAGCTGAGCGGTGCTGGCCAGGTGGGGTCCTGGAAGGTCACCTGGGCAGGAGCTGCTAGCATCGCCCAGGGACTGATGGAGCAGGGTAGCCAAGCCCTGAAGAGCTCCACGCTGTGTCCCCAAGACCCTCACACTGCCCTGAGACAGCCTTAAAAACCCTACAGTGTACCCTGAGACAGGGCCCCAAAGAAACCCACTCTGTGTCCCCAGAGAACCCCACAGTGGCAGCCCCAAAGAGCCCCACAATGTGCCCTGAGACAGCCCCAAATAACCCGATGCTGCATCCCAGAGCAGCCCCAAAAAACCCCACAATGTGCTCTGAGACAGCCCCCAAGAGCCCCACAATGTACCCCTGAGACAGCCCCAAAGAATCCGATATTGTTCCCACAAGACAAGCCCAAAGAACCCCACACTATACCCATGGGACAGCCCCAAAGAACCCCACGATGTTCCCCCAAAGAATCCCACACTGTGCCCCCAAAGAACCCCACGCTGTGCCCCCAAAGAACCCCACATTGTACCAATGAGACAGCCCCAAAGGACCCCACACCATGCCCAGGCAGCCCCAAAGGAACCCCACAATGTTCCTCCAAAGAATCCCACAGTGCACCCATGAGACAGCCCCAAAGAATCCCACATTGTACTCCTGAGACAGCCCCAAAGAACCCCACACTGTTCCCCCAGAGAACCCCACAGTGCACCCATAAGACAGCCCCAAAGAACCCCACACTGTCCCATGAGCAGCACCAAAAGCACCTCACACTGTACCCCTGAAACAACCCCAAAGAACCCCACATTGTTCCCACAAGACAACCCCAAAAAACCCCACACTATACCCATGAGACAGCCCCAAACCGTACCCACGACGGTGAGCAGGATGTTGTCCAGCAGCAGTGCCACGAACACCACCCCCAGCACCAGGCGGGGAGAGGCCCTGCCCGCGGCCAGCCCGGGCTGCGACACGGCTGGGGACACGGCTGGGGACACCCCTGGGGACACGGCTGGGGACACGGCTGGGGACACGGCTGGGGACACCCCTGGGGACACCCCGGGGGACACCCCTGGGGACAGCCCGGGGGACACGGCTGGGGACACGGCGGGGGACACCCCTGGGGACACCCCTGGGGACATGGCCAGGGGCACAGCCAGGCTCCTGCGGGCTCCCGCGCTCAGGGCTCGAGGCTCCACAGACCTGCCAAGAGAACATTCCAGGTCAAACCTCCCACGGGACGTGGCTTCTCCCGTGGGAAGGCAGCTCCTGGGGTCACTCAGTGTGTCCCCAGATAAACAAACAAACAAACAAACAAACAAACAAACAAATAAATAAATATATATATATAGATATTGTAGGTAATATATATGATTATAGATTAATTAAAATTAATTATTACGAATCATTATGAATTATAATATATATATAATAGATTATATATGTTGTAGATAAATCAATATATGTTATTATAATTATATATTTTATTATAATATGTTTATTATATTTATTATAATATATAGATAACATAAATATATAGATTATAAATTAATTATAATGAATTATTATTAATTATAATATATAATAGAATATATATTATAGATAAATCAATATATAAAATAGATATAGATTAAAATAAATGAAATATCTAAATTTATAAATAAATTCAGGACAGAGGGAGCAGAGGCAATACAGACCCGTAGTTTAACGTGTCCAGCACAAGCCCCGTCCCTTTCCCTGCCCCGTGGAGCGGAGGAAAGGAGGGAATTGTTCTTACCCCGGGAATTGTCCCACCCCGGTGGCACCGGGAGCCGCTGCCGCCGCTCCCAGCTCCGCTCGCGCGGGTTCGGGGGAGGAGTGGCCCCGGCCCGCGGGTGGCACCGGAGCCTCGCCGCTGTCCGGGAGCTCCCCGCGCGTCAGAGGGGCCGGGCCGGGGCAGGAACGGAGATCGGGGATCCTGCGGCGGGGCTGGGCACCGGGAATGAGCCGGGATGGGCACCGGGAATGAGCCGGGAATAGCCCGGGATGGGCACCGAGAATAACCCAGGATGGGCACTGGGAATGAGCCGGGGTGGGCACTGGGCACCGGGAATGAGCCGGGATGGGCACCGGGAATGACACGGAATGGGCACTGGGCACCGGGAGTGCACCGGGATGGGCACAGGGAATGTCCCGGGATGGGCACCGGGACTGCTCCGGGATGGGCATCGGGAATGGCTCGGGATGGGCACCGGGAATGAGCCGGGATGGGCACCGGGACTGCTCCGGGATGGGCATCGGGAATGGCTCGGGATGGGCACCGGGAATGAGCCGGGATGGGCACCGGGAATCCTGCTGGGATGGGGCACCGGGAATGCTCCGGGATGGGCACCGGGAATGCACCAGGATGGGGCATCGGGAGTGACCCGGGATGGGCACCGGGACTGCTCCGGGATGGGGCACCGGTATCTCTGCCGGGATGGGGCACCGGGAATCCTGATGGGATGGGGCACCGGGAATGACCCGGGATGGGCACCGGGAATTGCCCGGGATGGGGCACCAGGCACCGGGCACCGGGTATGACCCGGGATGGGTACCGGGAATGCTCCGGGTTGGGCACCGGGAATGCCCAGGGATGGGCACCGGCCACCAGGAATGACCAGGGATGGAGCACCGGGAATCCCTTGGGATGAGACACCGGGAATGCACCGGGATGGGGCATCGGGAATCCTGCCGGGATCGGGCACCCGTTCCGGGATTCCCGGGATTCTGGAGCACCGGCGCTCCCGCCTGTCTCGGGGTTCCGGAGCTCTGGGGCGCTGTCCCCAGCCGCTTTCGGTCCCCGCTGTCCCCGGGGCTGTCCCGGGATGCTCGCTCTCTGTCCCGGCAGATCCGGACGGGCAGTGCCCCTCTCTGTCCCTCACCACTCCTGTTTCCCCAAACCTCCGAGCCCTGGCTCCGTGATTTCCCTGCCAAAGCCCGAACCGGCTCCATCCCTCACCCAGGACACGGAGATTTACCGCGGGGAGAGGGAATAAATCCTAAATGCATTCCCACATAAATCTGCCACATCAACGCGGGGCCATTCCTCTGCCAAAGCTGCCCCAACCCCCAGATGAGCACATTCCTGCCGGGAATGTGAGCGTTGGAGCGGGATTTTGGAGCATTTTCGTGGATTTGGGGAGCGGAGGGCACGCGGCGGGGCTGGAGCGGGGCAGCAGCACCCTCTGCTGCGGGAGCGCGGAGCTGCCGCCGCGGGAGCGACCCCGTTCTTCCCTTTTTTCCTTTTTTCCATCTCTTTTTCTTCATTCAACCCTTTCTGTGCAGTTATCTGTTCCTTCCCCTCCGCCTCCTCGCTGCCCCGGGCAGGATCTCCCGGATCTCTCTGCAGATGTTTCCCCCAAATATTTCCAGTTCTGAGCCAGCAGGAGCGGGGGATTGATTTAAAACCCCAATCCCTTCTGTCTCACTCCTCTTTCTCGCTTTATTTCCCTCTTTCCTTTTGCTTTTTATTCTTCTTTTTTGCTATTTTTCTGTCTCTTATTATTTTAATGGGTGTTTTTTTTCTTCTTTCCTTTTCCTTGTTTTCCTCTTTTCTCTTGCCTTTTCTCCTCCTACCTTTCCCTTTTTTTGACTTTTCATTTTTTTATTCTTATCCATTAACCCCTTTCCTTCCTCTTCCTCTTCCTCTTCCTCTTCCTCTTCCTCTTCCTCTTCCTCTTCCTCTTCCTCTTCCTCTTCCTCTTCCCATTTTCCTCTTCCTTTTAATCTTCCTTTTCCTCTTCCCTCTTCCCTTTTCCTTTCCCTCTTCCCATTTTCCCTTTCCCTTTGCCTATTTTCCTTTTCTTATTTTCCTTTTCCTCTTTTCCCTTTTTCCTTTTCCCCTTTTCCTTTTCCTTTTCCTTTTCCTTTTCCGCTTTCCATTTTCCTTTCCCCTTTTCATTTTCCTTTTCCTCTTTTCCCTTTTTCCTTTTCCCCTTTTCCTTTTCCTTTTCCTTTTCCTTTTCCTTTTCCTTTTCCTTTTCCTTTTCCTTTTCCTTTTCCTTTTCCTTTCCATGGCTGGCAGGGAAACCTCCCACTTCCAGCACCGCTCCTTACTGGCCCAACTGGGTTATTCCCTTCAGGACCTGGGACAGCTCCGGCCCCGCCCCTCCCCGCCGGTGGGCGTGTCCCGCGCGCGAGTGGGCGTGTCCCGCGCGTCACTGGGCGTGCCCCTCTCCGCGCTATAACAGCGCATGCGCGGCCGCCCCCTCAGCAGCCGGTCCAACATGGCGGCGGTGCGGGCGCTGCGCGGGGCCGTGAACGGCGCCGGGCCCGGCGGGCCCCGCGAGCAGGCGGCGGCGCTGACCCGCGACTTCCTGTCCCAGCCGCGCCTCAGTGAGTGCGGGCCGTGCGGGGGAGCCCGGGGGGCTGCGGGAGGGGGGATCCGCCCGCCTCGGGGGCGCAGCTCCGGGCAGGCCGCAGCGCCGGCTCGGCCGCCCCCTCAGAGCAGCCCGGGCTCGGGCTGTAATTAACACCGTAATTAACGTGGGGACACGGCCCGTCCCGTGTCGTTCCGAAAAGCCGCGGTTTGTTCCGGGAGCTGGGAGTGGTGGGGGTGGGATGGAGTCTGTGTTTAACAGAAATGGAGAAATCGCGTGAAAAAGGGGAAATGCGGGGCTCTGGTGAAATCCCTTTGTGGCAGCGCGGTGCGGAGGGATCAGAGCGCGTGAAGGTGTTTTTGCTGGCTGCAGTCCCGCAGAATGGCTTTACCTGGGCCCTGAGAGGCAGCGGGACCGGCAGGGCTGCCCCGGGTCACGGAGCCTTTGGGGGCCAAAGCCGTCACTGCAGTTCCGGGCTTTGCCCTGGGGCCGAGGCTCCTGGCACGGCTGGGGCCGAGGTGGCTCCAGCGTTTTCCGTGCAGATTCTGGGTTTTCCCTGAGCTGGGGGTGGGGAATGTTCTGGGCTGCTTTGCTTTGCCGTGGAGCTGCCCGAGAGGCTGATTGAGGAAGGAGAGCTCACGAGGCAGTCACGGGGTGAATGCCTCACCCGGGGTCAGCTTTTCCACTCCCTGTATCCTGGTCCCATTGCTGATTATCCCAATCCCACTCCCTGTTCTCATCCCCTAGATCCCATTCTCACTCCCATTCCCTGTTGCCATTCCCATTGCCACAGTCCCAATTATCCCAGCCCCATTCCCTGTATCCCCTTCCCAATATCCCAATCCCATTCCCTGTTACCAATGCCATTCCCTATATCCCAGTTCCCAGCCCCATTCCCTGTATCTTGATCCCATTCCCTGTGTCCCATTCCTATATCCCAGTCCCATTCCTGGTTCCCAATCCTCTTTCCTAATGCCATTTCCAGTCCCTTTCCCAGTTCCCATTCCCTTTATCCTGGTTCCTTGTCCCATTCCCTGTTCCTGTTCCCAATGCCGTTCCCATTCCCAATCCCATTCACCATTCATAATCCCAT